AGAGATGGTATAATTTAATAATTGCTCTTTAATCAATAAGTGTTTGTTGATGAGATTATTTACACCCTTAGCATGTATATTTTATGTGAGCCAAAAATAGCATGGTTGATGTTTAAAAGTGCATCAAAGTTAAAATAATATCATAATTTAGCCAGCATATCATTTGATATGTTTCACTACTTATTCTGTACAATTGGATTGTTTAAGGTGGTAGGACTAGAAAAAACCTAATACTCTTAAAAACTATTGTTATTTCCCAAGAACTTTTAAAAAAGTTTGAATTTATGTTAAAAATCATTTGACAATTTTTTTTTATTAATTTGCCTCGCCTACCCATACTTATATAAAAAAATAAACCAAAAAATAAGGAAATTTTAAAACACAATATCACAAAATATAATCAACAAACCACAATGAATTTTTGTAGGTTTGTTCTTCAACAATAGATAATTCATTTGAACTAAAATGACATTGAATCTTAATAGAATAAAAAATATACATAATTTATTATGTATGCGTTAAAAAAAAAATACCAAATTGAGAATAAAAAACAAATAATAAGCAATAAATACATTTAATTATTATAAGATTTTAGTTCAAATGAACTTTATATGTATACTGAAGATACTGTGAAAATTTCAAGTAAATTGAATTTTTCTAACTTAAGATATTTGGTTTTGAAGTTACAAAATCTTGCAAAAAATCAAAGTTCAATAAAACGCAAAATAAAGTTGTAATATGTTTAAAAATATATATACAATATGTTTAAAACCCTCCTGATACATAAAATGATGTTTTATTTTGACTTTGTTTATCAGAGTATCTTTTTTTTATTGCTCTGAGACTTTTTCTTCTATTTTTTACTTTTTCACTTGACTTGATCTCCTTGCTCTTTACACGTGAAACATTTTGTTCATAAGATTTAGAATTTGTAACAACGCCTGATAGTCCAAATGAAAGTAAAACATTTTTAACACCTTCAGTACCATCATTGTAGTGTAAAATTGCTGAATTAATACTCATTTCAAAAGTTTGTTTACAAACAAATATGTTTTTAGGGCAACGAGACCAAACCAATGCATTAAGACTTTCATTTGCATTTTGGGTTTGCCCATGTACACATTTTAACAATAATCCTTCATTTGATAGATCTTTAAACACTGGTTTCAAAAGGTTACTAATCCATAATGGTAAATTAATGTTCTTTATAATTTGAAGTATTATGTAATTTGTCATTTTGATATTGACACCAACTAGTTTCAGTTCTTGGGCAAAAGCAGTGGCGAAACTCTTGATTTGAATATCCAGTACAGTGGAACAAAATAGCCCATATTGCCTTTTTCATGGCATAAATGTTATTTGTATTACTTCTTATAGCTAAACCATAAAAATTTTGCATACTATTAATCACATTTTCTGTGAGTTTATTTTTTCCACTTAGTGGAGTTGGTTTTCCTTTGTAATTTTTGATTAAATTTCGTAACCGTGTACCCATTCTTTTTTGTATATGTGCAACACACTCTAACTTTTCAGGAATTATTTTATAGTCTTTATAGGGATCAGACTTTATTACTTCTTTAAAAGATGAGCTATCTCCATCTCCAAGATAATGAGTATAAATAATATTGTTATTTTTAATTGAACGTGCAAATATTTTTACAGCACCAGCTGCTTCCATTGACCCAGAAGATTGTTTATGATTTATATGACAGGCATGTTGAGCTTTCCAAGCATTGTATCGTGGTGAAGCTTTTTTATTTTTCCATATTCTACAGCCCATGCAAAATTTTGACATTGCTTCATAATCAACGCACTTATCACCCACAATTGCACTTACAAATCCATTAAGGGAGGTATGGCCGCGTTGTTGCCATGCACCATCAATCTTAACATGCTTCATTATTGGTTTATTATCATCAGTATAGTTATCTTTCATTTCATTTATGGCACGTTTCATACTTTCTTTAGCAGTTTTATCATAAGCTTTTGATATTTCTATATTTAGTTTTCTAAATGGAGTAGCTGTCAAACAGTGTAAATTCATACAGCGAATAAAATTTTTCATAGATTGATACCCTTTACCTATTTCTCTAAATCCAATTATCATTCTTGTGTTTGCTTCAAATGTTTTCCTACCCTGGGCTGTATTTCCATTAAATTTACTAATCTGCTCAGAAGAATACAAAACCTTTTTCCATTCACATAAACTACACTTGATTTCAAGGTGATGGGCAAAACCCATGCGCTTAGAAAGATTATCAACAATGGTAACAAGGCTGTAACAATCTGGGCATTTAACATCTTCCACGATATCACTTAAAATTGAAAAATTGATAAGTATAAAATAATCTTTATTCACTTTGTCATTTACAACTTGATTTCTATTTATCAGTGGCAGTAATTTTCTTGCACTTGCACAACTTGAAGCTGGAACAATATTCAGATTGCTTTTCTGTTGTCTTTCTGCTGCAATTGTATAACGATTTCAATGAAAAAATCTTTTCTTTTTTCGTCCAAAGTTTTGCTTATTAGATACTTTAATGTTATTTCTTGAAGTACTCATTATTTATAATACTTGAGGTGAAATCTGAAAAGGTTTATAACATCAAAATTAAACAGCATGCACTAAAGTTGCTTCAAAAAACTGCCAAAATTTACAATGTTCCTTAAGTTAATGACCTTTAACAATTGCACGTTTATCAGTGTATGATATAAATCTTGTTGTTCTTTATGGAAAGGTATCAAGGTAAAAAAAACTGTTTACCGTTGCTAAGGGCGTAACTACGGACTAGTCGTTGTATGTAGTTACATAAAAGCTTTAAAAACTAAATAAGAAATAATTTTTTTAAAAAAATTTTTTCAATACATGAAAGCTAAGTAATTTTCCTTCGAAAATAAAAAATAAAAAAAAAAACGATTTTTTAAAAATTTTTACATATTTTTTCTAGCTCTACCACCTTAAATTGCTCTACCACTTTAAATTGAAAGTTTAGAATCTATTTCGATACCGAGACAAAAATTTAGTAAAGTTATTAGGAACCCCATTTAATCTTTTTTGTGTCATTTGTTTTAAAAATATCGAGTTCAGCTTTATTAGAATTAAGGGAGTGAGAGTTTATTGTAACAAATCCACTGAATTAAATTGGAAAAATCATTGTTAATGTATTTGTTAACTTTTTTTGGGATTTATTAATTAGCATTAGATTAGTATCATCAGCAAAGTGGTAAAGGTAGCAAGCTTAATAAATATATTAGGTTATTAATAATAAGAAAAGCAGCGGTTCCAATACTGAACCCTGATGTTTAATACCATTAGAACAATTTGCAAGTGTAGATTTTGAGTCATTGTTTGTAAATAATCACGAATGGAAAAAAATTGTGTTCTGTTGTGTAAATACGTAGTAAACCATTTGAGGTGCTTGTTTTCTTATTAAATATTTAGGAAAATTAAAAATATTTGGGACCCTTTTTTGTAAGAATTATTTCTAATAGTAAAAAGAAGTTTACATCTGAGCCAGCCGAATAGATGAGAGGTGGTGCGAGGCTGGTCAACAGAATTTTTTTTTTACTCCTAAAGTCTTAGCCTAAAAGGTCTTTTACAAGAGAGTAGCTGGATACAATAATTATGTGCTCAAGATGAGTGTTTTTATTGAGGCAGCCTTTACGTAACCAAGAGCCCCTAAGGTAAGGGTATTTTAAGTCAGAGCTAACTTTTTATAGAATTTACTTAGAATAGCAAATCCTACATAGCAGCAGAACATGGGGCAGGGAGGGTGTCTACCAATGTTTTAGAATGATTTTTCCTGATTTAATTTAAAGTTACAAACTTTCAACTTAAGAAAATATATACAGGTTCTTTTTTGAAAAAAACGCTTTTCATTTGTAAATACATAAACATTTTACAAACAATATATACATATTTATTTAAAGTACTAAAAGAATCTGCCAAATAAAAATTTACATTATGTGTATGTTATACAACTGACATAAGTTGGCTCCACAGCCATTTTACCTGATTTTTACAAAATTCAACTGAATTCCTCTGATTTTTTGACATCTGAATTCCCTGATCTGGCAAGTTATACTGGATTACATATTATCAGTAATCACTCTACGTTGATCATGAACCTGACCATCTATAAAAGCAGTTTGAATTATTATATCATTCGAGATCCGTATTTCGTCGACTCAACGAATTATATCAAAACGATTTTTCGATTCTTCTTTTAAGGTAAGTATTGTCAAATAATTAGTCTAATCTTAACAATTGAAAAATAATATCGATTAATTTCAGAGTATTGTTCCAACCGACGAAAGCAGGGCAAGCATTTTATGGTCAAAATGTAGGATAAAAAAGTTTAGAGTAAAAAGTTAAGGGATATGAAAGTTAAGAAAAGTAACAAAACCAAAGAAAAATATAAGAAGCAGAATGTTTTCAATTTCAAATAAAAATTTGATAAAAAGCCACAAAAACTACAAGCCTTCGAAATTTTGTGATCATTTATTTAATTATTTTTCTGTTTTTAATTAATAAATCTTTACTTGTAAGATAAAGAGTTAGATAAAGTGCGAAACCGAGACTAGCTTTTATAAGAATTAAAACTTTTCGTCATTTCTATAGTCTTATATCTAAATCGAGACTAACTTTTACACAAATTAAAATTTTTGCTCATAACTATAGACATATAACTATTAGTAAGTGTTAAACTAGCGATTAATGAAAAGGTCTCTTCCTTGTTTGTTTTTAGTTGACCTTTTTAAAAACAACATTCCAAAACACTGGATTTAAGTAACTTTAGTTTTAACTAAACTTTAGGTCATTCTATGCATTAGCTCGACTCTAAACATATCGGAACACCGGGCATTAGCTTGATTTTTAACATACCGCATGCTAAAAATAATATTTTCTGATAAACAACAGAGAAAATACACTAGAATTTGGTGTCATTAAAAAAACACTGAACTTAGTATAAAATGTAGAACATTGAAAGATAGAAGTATTTTGTCAAAATTTTTGATTTATTTCTTTATAATAATTTAAAAGAAAATAAACAACATACATCAGTATTCATATATAGTCGCTAAAACCTTTTTTTAGGAAAACAAAATTCTTCAAGTGTACAATATATCTCTAGTAGATAAAAATCCTGTTCATCAGGTTTATGAAAAGGTTACCAGCTACAAGGCTTTTATCTAAAATTTAACAGTTAGTTTCCATTTTTATCATTTTAAAGTTTCCGTCAATCTTATATCGATTATATCTTAATATCGATTGGCCGCCTTCAACCGTAATAATAATTGGTCGCCTTCAACTATAATAATGATTGGTCAATATCGGACTTACTGATCAATTGAATACATAAACCATTTTAATTTATTGTTAATATTCAGCAATAGTTCTACGGAAAAACTTTTACATTCGAGTTTCAGGTTTTAAAGATGGAGGTTTGAAAGCCTTCATAACTTTTTTCTTTTTCGCTTTTTTAGCTGCATTTTTTTGAAAAGATCTCCAATCTTCAACACGATTAGTTCGAGTATCCTGAAAAAAAAAAAGACAGGTTAAGTGCATACTACTGCGTTCATTAAAAAAATATAAACAATTGGCTGAAAAATTGATTTTATAAACTAATGTATTAATATAGGTTTTGATGGTTTCTATAGTTACTAAACTTTTATTTAACGATTCAAATATTTTACATGGGAATGCTAACTATTAAAACTGTTGTCTAAAGATATATGGTCTTCTTATTTTATTTGTTAAAAACAAAATAAGAAGTTCTTGTAGGAAGCAGAAGAAATAATACCCAGCTGTTAATAATACCCAGCTGTTATTTATAAATTCAATAAGTTTTCTAAAATTTACATTTGTTGAGCTATTATAAATATGAATAGTTTAGCTATTATAAATATGAATTTTTTTGAAAACACATCAATAAATAGCAGAGCTGGAAAAAATCAAATTTTTATTATTTCAGATGTGGGTTTTTGGGTTTTATTTTTAAATGCTAGATATCATTATCAAAAATCAAATATTAATGCATGACAATCATAATATGGAGATTTCCAGAAAATTCAATGAGTAACGAAATTGTTTAAGATATTAAAATTATAGCAAAAAATGAAAGTCATAATAATAATAGTTTTCACAACTTAAATTGTAAAAACAAAAAACCCAAAAAACCCAGAAATTCTATTTCATTGGGTTTTTTAAAAAAACCCAAAAAACCTACTTTGTCCAGCCCTGATTAATAGTGGTTGAAAAACTAGGACACTTTATTATCATGATTCTATCATGTTTAAAACATTAAATATTTTAAGTTTAGATATTTAAAACTTAATTTTTTCTTTTTGCAGGTTTCAGATCATATATTATTTTACATACAAATTGATACAAAAATTAGTGTATATACTTTTTTGATAGAAATTTGAACCCTGTAAATTCTGAAAATTTGAACATATGCTTTAAGTAACAGTAATAAATCAACTTTAAATAAAAACAGAATATGAATTAATATGATTTTACAATATGATTTTAAAGACAGAATATGCAATATGATTTTTAAGACAGTATCAACTGGAAAATTGACTTACAAATTTACTTGAAAAATTTATATATAATTTATTTTATATAAATTTTTATACATAAGTAGATACTGCTTTTATTCTAATTCTTAATTTATTTACATAATAAAGTCCCTGTTTGTCCCTATTTTAGTATGAAACTTTTTATATTTAAAATTTTAAATTGTGCTTAAAGTACAAAAGTAAAAAAAAAAATTTAAGACAAAAGCTGTCTAAAAGAAACTGAACTTCAGGAACTTCTGAGGTAAAAGCCTCATAGATAAACTTTATAAATAGCAACATGGATAGAAAATTAGAAGACAAAATGCTAACTGAAAATTGGTTAACTAAATTTTAAGAACAAAGATAAAATTAATAAATGTATTGATAAATGTTAAATATTTATCAAGAATACTTATTATCTGACATGTAAAATAAAGTGAATGGTAAAAATAGTAAGTCCACCATAAATAATCAAAATAGCACTAACATCCCAATTTTTTTCAAATTCTTTCTGTTTTTTTGCTTTTTCTTCTTCTTCCAATTCATTTTCTCTTTCTCTTTTTCTTAAAAAAAAAATATCACCATCATCATAATGATGATGATGATCATTATGATGATGATTATCATATTATTATTATTATTATTATTATTATTATTATTATTATTATTATTACTATTATTATAACTAGCAGCAGCAGCAGCAGTAGTAGTAGTAGTAGTAGTAGTAGTAGTAGTAGTAGTAGTAGTAGTAGTAGTAGTAGTAGTAGTAGTAGTAGTAGTAGCATTTACTTACTTTTCTTGTTGATTTCTATCTACAAGTTCCTGCTTTTTTATATCACTATCTGCAAACAATTTAGCAGTCACTGCCCTTTTCAATCTAAAGTACTAAATAAAAATATTGATTTAAATACAGTTAACAAAATATAAAATAAAATATTGCTACTACAAAAGTTCGCTTTATATTTATACTCATATTGATGATGTGCCGGATACTTTAGGTGTGCGATTTTTTAGGTGTGCTGGTTTACCTTGCAATTAATGGAGGTGACTGGTAATCTTGGAAGCGCTTGGTAATTTTTGAAGGTGCCTGGTAAACCAGAAAAACAGAAAAAGGTATTGGTTACCTGGTAACCCCTGCAGTGTACCAGGTACCCAGCAAACATACAGGGTACCCATCATCTTCCAAGATTGCAGAGCGTTGGCAAAATTTCTAGCTCTTTCAGAAGTAGCCAGGCATCTCAAAAAAATAGCAAGCCACTCCAAAAGTTACCAATTACCTAGCACAAATATAAATATCGCCAGGTAAATGGCACATCTTTAATTAATATATTATTATTTAGTATGGGTGATATGTCCTTACTGTTTTTCTTCATTAGGTATAATTTCCTTAAACAAATTTAAAATATTGTTTATCTTATATAATATGACAGTTAATAAAGTAAATCTTTAATTTTTGAAAAAAAATCTAGAAATTTGATTGAATTTTCCTACTTTGAATTTTTATTCAACTAAAAGAGTTTGCCATTTTGCTGTATAAGCGAAAGCTGTAAAAAACCTAAATATGTTATACCATTATTATATATAACATAACTACATGTAATATATACTATATATAATATAAATATAATAATATATATTATATATAATATAAATATTAAAAAAAGACAAACATAAACCTAGGACAAGTTTCTTTTAAAGACCTAAAGGAAACAACTTTGTTGTTGTTGGCACACTTGAGGATAAATGTAGCAGAGTATTCCTTCAAAAATTATCTTTAGAAGCTATAATAGAAATCTCAAATACTCTACATACTCTATACTTACTGAATACATACTGCCCAAGTAAAAAAAAAATAACGATACTTTGTAAAAACATGCAACAAAACCTAGTGAAGACAATGTTAGAACCTAATAGATCAACTTAAATTGAGGAGCTGCATATTGCATTGTCAGATTTTTATGATCTTTAAATATTCATCTGATTCATTCATTTCAGATAATGAATCGGTCGCAAGTTGTTACTTATGATTTAATTCCTGATATAACTAAAGAAGTTTGAATCTTTATTGGACTGTTAGTAAAAGTTCAATTAATGGCAGACACTCATCAATTAAACTTTTCATGTTTCTTCAATATATTCTATAGCATTTGAAAAATATTAAATGAAATTTGAACTAAAATGTATTAATTCTAAGCATTTGATCTAAATATGGTTTAAGCAGCCATAGCGGCATGTATGGTTTTAAGGGGAAAGTACTCATGAGAGTAGAGGAAAAAGAACTTTAGGTTTTATTGATATTAATTACAACAAGTTTGTTGCAGATAGATGCTAGAATAATCACATAAAAGAATTTAAAAACTGTATTTCTCCTTAAACAGTGATGAAATCTCAATAAACTTTTAGAAATTTTAGTGGAACATCTTATCCCTCAACCAGAGTTACACATTTTTGTTGGTACTAATTCTATGCTTGTAAAAATATTACTTTGTGGCCAGATGGCTCAAGTCAAACTATATTATGTTTAGAGGTTGGCATTTTTTTGATTTGAATTTGAATTTAGAGACTTTTAGATAAATATTCTAAAGGTTAACCTTTTAAGTGAAGCCTCTATACTATAAAACATGATATTTCCGATACCTGTAGTTAATTTGACTTGAAAAATTTTCAATTATCAAAAAAAAAAAAAAAAAAAAAAGGTTTTAGGTTGGTGATTAAAAAGTCTAAATAAGTTTTGTTGCTGAATATAAACTTAATTTTTTTTTTTAATTTGCAGCCTTGTCTTCAAGAAAAGTTTAACTGACAGTTAAATATTAGTTTTGCACACCAAACTGGCAGGAGAAAGTGCACATCACTTTTAAGTATACAAGCAATACAAGTATTGTTCTGGACATAATAATTTTACGAGCCAGCTTGAAAAAAAGTGTGATTGAGTTTAGTATAATAAGTTTAAAGTAATCATTTACTTTTTTTTTTTATTTTTATAAATTTACTGTTGTAATTGTTAAATTTATTGCTATTTTAAAAGTATTACTTCAAAATTCTATAATTTTTTTTTTAATGTTAAATTTTTTGGATAAATGTGTTAAAACATTCATTAAACAATCCGCCTTAATGACCAAGGAAGTTAGCTGGCAGTGTTCTGAAGTGAAATGCTGTGGTTCTAATCCTTGTACTTCCACATTTTTTTAAAAATCTTTTTCAATTTTTCAAAATACAAAGAAAAACATTTTTGGAGTTCTATAAATATTTTTAATTTTATAAAGTTTAAATTTTACCAAACCCAATAAAAATAATTGAACAAAAAAAAAAAAAAAAAAAAAAAAAAAAAAAAAAATTAGAGTGAACTAAAATTTACATAGGTGTTACTCAGGAGAATACAATAAAAAAATAAAACTAAAAAAAGAAAAAAAAGAAATGAAAATATAAAAATAAAATCATTTTTTAATATTTAAAAACTCTACCTCTTCTGGTTTATCGTCTTCAGGGATTGTAGCAAGCGGTGAAATCTTTTTGGCTTCTCTACGCTTATCAGCTAACTAATTTATAAATATATATACATACATATATACACATAGAAACTAATACAGATTCAGGTTGACAGAATACTAATACTTTCTGTTCACTTTAATTTTCAAAATACTATTTTTAATACAGATACTTTGCAGACAGTAATAAAATTAGTAATAAACAAAACACATTTTTTATATACTAAAGCATTCACAGGTAACTACTTTAGTTTGACATCATCATCACAAGACACCAATTACAAAAACAATTGTTCAAGAATATTTCTTTGTCCATGAAAGTCCAAGTCAACAAATAGATTCAAATTTGGAAAAAAAAAATTACCATTTATTGAATTTTCCCCACCTATGCTTGAAATGAGCTAAATTAAAAAGATGCATCTGTAAACCCAATATTCAAATCTGGAAGCTGAAAATGTAATTTCATCTGGTTCCATTTCTAATTCTTGACCCTTTTCTCTGGCTGAAATTTAAACAGATACCAATCCATTTTCTTTATATTTTTCATAACTCTAATGTACTTTTTAGAATTGTAATTTGAGACTGAGACATTCACAAGGCACATAAAATGATGTTGGATCGAGTTTAAGTATACATTTATGTGCACCACAATTGAGTCTTTCATATTTACTCCACTATCATAATCCTCTGCAGTTCTGTAAATTTAAATTCAGACTTTTTTAAGCATGTTTGTGTGAGACCTAAACCAATGCTGTCATTGACAAGTAGGAATCCCCTAAAATAATGATTTCTATTGTGTACTCCCCTAAATTGAGGAATCCCATAAAATAATGATTTCTATTGTGTACTCCCCTAAATTGAGGAATCCCCTAAAATAATGATTTCTATTGTGTACTCCCCTAAATTGAGGAATCCCATAAAATAATGATTTCTATTGTGTACTCCCCTAAATTGAGGAATCCCCTAAAATAATGATTTCTATTGTGTACTCCCCTAAATTGAGGAATCCCCTAAAATAATGATTTCTATTGAGTACTCCCCTAAATTGAGGAATCCCCTAAAATAATGATTTCTATTGAGTACTCCCCTAAATTGAGGAATCCCCTAAAATAATGATTTCTATTGTGTACTCCCCTAAATTGAGGAATCCCCTAAAATAATGATTTCTATTGTGTAAATTGCATACTCTCAAGACCATAATCATTTACTCTCTGGTATTTTGAACATTATTTACAATTTAAATTTTTGGCAAAACATCACTGATTATATTAATTACCTCATTGAATTGTTTTGCTCACGTAATGATCATGAATTTTCTTTTTTTTTTTTAATATCCTAAATGATAATCTAGGCAAGAATTTATAATTGCATAAGCTTTCCTAACAACTTGTTAAATCCCAAAATATTTTCATTGTTTAATTGAAACAATTGATCCACAGTGCCAAAAAGTGCTAAATTCTGTTCTCCAAGAAAATGTAAAACTGAAGTGATTTTTTTTTTTTAACATTGTTCTAGTGTTTAGTTTCTTTTGCACTAGTTTTTGTTTCCTTTTGTATTACGTTCTTCAAATTAATTTTCCGGCTCAATATTTTGCAAATGCCAATAGGAAGAAATTGCTTCATGGACCAGCTAAAACACTAGACATGTTTTCCTAAAATTATTTCCTACAATTGCAAATTTGATTTTTAGATGTGAGAATAATTGGCAGCAAAAACTAAACACAGTATTTTCATGTTCTAAATAAATTAGGCAATGACAGTCTCAACATTTTATCCATTTATTTAACCAAAAATTGAAAATTAAAATTTTTTCTATAATTTAAAAAAAATCAGGTTAGGTGTCACTCATATAGTTAAAAACTAGTCATTGGAGTGACACCTAAATAAAATAAACAAACAAAAAATTCAACAGAAATATTAATAAATAAAGCAAGGTAAACTAAATTAAAAAAAAAAAAAAAGATTAAACTATAATAAATTAAATATGAAAACACTCAATTAATAATAACAACAATAAAAATAAATTGCACACACAAAAACTACAAAACAAAAACAAAAATTACATAGAAAAAAGACAAACACAAAAACTTCTACAAAATAAAATAAACTATATTTGTTATTCTTGGTGGAAACATACAATAAAAATCTATACACTGTATATATACAGTGTATAGATGCATTTAAACTAATATTGCATTGTCAATTTTCAATGTAAACATTGTTAGAATCCAAATGCTTACTTTGAAATGTAAACAATAAATGTTACTTTGAAATGTAAACAATAAAATTACATAATAAAAAAATGCATAATACAGAACAGAAATTTATATAGAAACTAATTTTAAAGTTATTGTTAGTTAATTAATTTTTTTTAAAACAATTAATTTTTAAATAAAAACAAAAAACAAAAAACAAAATATACAAGATATACAGATTAATATGCATTATTTAAATTTCTTTTTTTGATTTACACATTATTTTACGCTTTCCCAATTTGATCACAAATAAATAGGTGATTTATGCCTTCTAAAAAAATGCTTAATATTCATATTTGTTTAAAGATACCCAACTGTTATATATATTTAAAAATATTTAATTTTTATTTATAAAAATAACATATTATTTATATGAGTATCTTTAATGACAATTACAATAACATTGTTTTCCTTGGCTGCAGAGGAAAATATTCTGACAACATATTAGGAATCAAAACAGACTATAAATTCTAATTATAATGCAAAAATAAATAATTTTGTATACAAAAAACAACCCAATAAAAACAAACATATTTGCTGAATTCTATACTATTTACATCAATGTTGCTTTTTGTAGAAAAAATAATATTCAATCTCTCCAGTATATCTGACAAACTGGCTGGATATGGAAATACATATCTAACATATCCAGTATACGACTGGTTATGTAAAGATTCATAAGCAATACACCTTTAACAACTCTTTACATAATTCTAACAGTTTTTTAGAATTCAATTTAGATGAGAAAATGGTATTTATTTTGAAACTTTATCTTTTTAGTTTACTAGCACTTTTGCTAAACAAGCGCATACTTTAAACGTTTTATTGTATCATACGAAATAAAAGAAGTGCATACTTTAAACATTTTATTGGGTTTATCATACGAAATACAAAAAAGAGTTGACTTCTTCCAATGTTAAAACAGAAACACTTTTTTATTAATTATTGTTTATTTGGTTTTTGATGAGTCATTAATTCAAAAGATCTATTACAGCATAAATTAAAATACTTAAAGCATATTGTTTTGTTATACAAATGGAAAAAATATTGACATATAATAATATACATATTTATATGATGTAATAATGATAATAAATAATTAAAATAGAATAAAAAGAACTTATTTGCTGTATGAAAAATTAATCTAAAACTTTCTAACCATTCTTTGAAAACTAGCTTCAGCTTCTTCAAGTAACAACTTTATTTTTTTAACTTTATCAGTATCTTGTAAAGTCTGATTAGCTGTGCTGACAGCTAAATTTTAATCAAATAAATTAAATATAGCACATTTGAGCAAAGAAATAACAAAACATAAAATAAAATGTTTCTTTTGATTCCTGTTATTTAAAAAATTACCATCAAATGCCTTTTGTGCTCTCTCTTTGTCATTAGGATTTTTATCTGGATGTACAAGAATCGAAAGCTATGGAAAAAGATTGATTTTTATTAAAAAAAATCATTATAAATGTTTTTAATAGTAATATACACAATTGAGCAAATACAATAGTCTAAAATCTTGAAAGTGAAAAAAAAAAAAAATTCATTAAAAAAGAAAAAAATTTCTCTCCTGCATGTTCTACCTATTCAGAGGTTAATGCTTGTACTTTTTATTTTTCCTAAAAGTTGCTTATAGGGATTATTTTTTTGCAAATGTCACTGTTAATTTTTTTAATATATACATACATACACTTACCTACATATTATATTTAAATATATTTTAAACATTATTTTTGTTGATATTTTGTTTTTATTGATTGACCAAGTTCATTTTAAAAAGTGGAAATATTTTTGGTTGTTTTTACAGTTACAACAAAAAATAAGTTTATACTTTATATTCTGATTAAAATACAGTTTTTTCATTATATTCTTTTTTTTAGTTTTGTCAACTGGTAGGGTTTTAATTTATATTATAATTAAAATACAAAAGTAAACAGCAGTACATTTTATTATATTCTTCTTTTTCATATGTTTAGCTTTCACTTTGAAAGATTAAGAAATTTTATTATTGCTCTCAGCACATAACACCCATCAATCATATATTTGGAAATTAAAGGACCTCAAAATGACTAAAAACAGCTTATTTTAAGCGTATTAAGAGCACTAACATAAAAAATTTTAATTATTTTTTTTTTTAGGACATAAAGAAATGAACTTTTGATTAAAATGGTATGGTCCCCCCCCCCTCTTCTAAAAATAATATTATTTACATTATACTATTTTTAGGGCGAATCATACATAAATTGGTTAAAATTTAATTATTATGCGGTGCACCTTTTTTTATTTAGATTCATAGTAAGGTTTACAAATTTATAAATTCAGAATCAAATAAAAATTACTTATTATGTTTATTTTATATTACTAATATTTTAGAATGAACTAACATGCTTTTATGTTAGAACTACAATTCTAATTATCAAAAACAGTTTTAAATAACAGATTGTTAACCACCATGTAGTAATAAATCAATAAATTAAAGATTTGTCTAGCAAAGCCATTAATTAAAACAACTTGATTTTATGTTTTAAAAGAACTTTAATTTTATGTTTGGCTTCAAAATTGGCTGTAATAAACTAACTTTAAAAGCTTTGTAATAGAAATAGTTGACAGTTTTTTTGGGGCGTTGAATTTTATTAAATTTTTTTTCTTTCTGCAAAATTCACGTAATATTTATGTCTGCCATCATTGATAATTTAATTTTTTTAAAGAAATTTTAAACCTCCAAGACATGTGGTGTTCATATTAAAGAGAATGATAAATAAAAAATGTTTGGGCTAATTTTTTTTGATTAAAACAAAAAAAAAATAATTTTTAATTTTAGTCGAAGCTCCCTTTCTCCGTTTTATTGTAGGCCAACAAGTCAGCAATACATTGCAATCAAATACGCAATACAGACTTGATAATTTATTCAACCGCGTTTCATTTCTAAAAGTTTTGATACATGACGTCATTGATTTTTGTTTATGTAAAAATTAGTTTAACTTGGTGTGCATTTATTATTACTTTTCTTATCAAAAAAATTTAGCCCAAACATTTTTTTTTTATCATTCTCTTTAATATGAACACATCATGTCTCAGAGGTTCGGGATCCCTTAAAGATATATAATGTCTATCTATTTATCTTTCAAAAAATATATAGTTTTGAGGTGCAAATATAATGCCTTCTATACTATAAAACGTTTTTTTTAAATTTATCTTATATTTAGTGAGTTTTTTTGGCGAATTCCTAAAAAATATGTTCCCGGTTAATTTGTTGATAATTGTTTATATCTTAAAGATTTTTAAGTGTTTAAGCACTCTATTTGTATCTGTTTTTCCTTATAGAATGCACCTCTGGTGGTTTAAAATCTTGGTTAATATTTTTTTAACTCTTGCAATTTAGTCAAGCTTTTTTTTTAATTTGCAAAGTCTTGTGACCTTTATGTCCCCCATTATTGGTATTTCATTTTCTTTTTAAATAAGAGACACAATCTGCATTTATTTATCTTTTAGAAAATATATAGTTATGGGGTGTAAAAAAGAAGCCTTCTATCCCTAATATATCATTTTCAGTATAGTATGTTTATTTTTCCTATTTACAAATATTATATATAGGTGCAAAAAAGGTAGAAGTTTCAACTTCCTTTTTTAAGTGTAACATATTATGTGACTATATTGTGTTTTTTATTTCTTTGTTAATGAGGAAAGTCTGTCTGGCAGTTTTTTTCCTGCTAAGACTGGCGGAGCTCTTGTGGAGCTCCTGAAAGCAAAACAAACTTTGTCCATAGAAAGTAGTCTGTTTCATTTTTCTTCTGTTGTAGTAATTATCAACATTATTTTGCATCATATCGACAAGCCTCTTTTCGAATTTTTTTCACATATTTCTCAAAAACTTTAAATATTTAGTATACCAGTACTCAGAGGTGCCTTCACGCCTTAAAAGCTAGTTTTTTTAATCAATTTTTCAGTTAAACCGTGAAAGTTAAACATAAGGGAAGAAATTTTTTTTTTTTTTTTTTTACCTATTTATAAATATCTAACTTCACCATGTTTTCATTTTAAAAATAGTCAGCCAGATTTACTGCAATCTATATTTCTTAGTTTAACAGCAGTTTCATTCAGAATGGCACTTGTCACTTCTGCTTAACATTTGGTGAAACATCACTTATTGTAGCCATAATAGCAATGTTCCTAGGATACACATCTATTGGAATTTCTGCTGCTACTTTACAGTTAAATTGTGGTGCATATTTTTTGTAATAGCCAAAATTGAATTAAAAAATTAATTTAAAAAATTTGTATCAGAACTGAGTTCATTTTTATAATCTCCATTGATTGTATTTTCCTTGTTTTTTTTTTCCTGTTAATCTTTGCTGTCTGCAAGCATAAAAAATATTTAACTTTAAGTGAAATAATTAATTATAAAAGTATCTTCTAAAATTTTTAAATGCAAAGTTGAACCTTTCTACTAAACTCTAATATCCCCTGCCCTTAAAAAAATGAAAACTTTCTTACTCCAACCAAGTCTTCCAAAAAATCAAATACTCAAACTTATCTATGGCGGATCTTTTATTATGCCTTAATTTTTTATATCTTATATGTTTTTCAAATCTGGTATGCTCAAAAGTCTGTTTTTATAGCTTTTTCTGGTTTGCTGAATATTAGCAGAGCTTCTTTTTACATTATTCTTCAGACCAGAATACTGTTTGTCTAACTTTGCGAGAACATTTTTTAGTTTAGTATCACTAATCTTTATCTAGGGTTTCTTAACCTTCTTCAAAGTATATTTATATTTTAGTTACAACTAAATTAATATCTAAGTATAGTTACAGTTTAGTTACAACTAAATTAATATCTAAGTATACTTACAGTTTAGTTATAACTAAATTAATTTTTTTGATAGTTTTAGGTAATTTAGATTGCAGGTAAGCTTGATGAAGTAAAATATCTGTTACAAGTTGAATCTCTAAATACAAGTTTTTTTATTGAGATCAACTATCTTGATTTGATGAACAATTTCTTTTTTTTATTAGATCCCAGGTTATTTTTTTATATTTTAATTAGTTTAAATAACATGTTATATCTTAATCATAGAGTATATTCATATGGTCTTTTATAAAAATTGATACTTTTTATTCAAAATAGTTATTAAAACAAGTAATTTTATTCTGACTTGAAATACATACACCTCTAAAAATTAGTATAAAATTTAAATACAAATATTTTTATTTAATTTTTGTAAAGATTTTAAAAGCGATGCCATGCCGCGTTTATATTTCAGTTGATTTTAAAATGTAAATAATATTATTTTTAGGGGAGAAAAAAAAAACTATACCTTTTTAATCAAAAACTCAGATATTTATGTGCTAGAAAAAAATTTATTAAAAATATTTATGTAAGTCTTGCTCTCAAGACGCTTTTAAAAAAGCTGTTTTTAGTTTAAATTTTTTGGGTGTTAGTTTAAACATATTTGTCTCAAATCTACATAGTTTGGCTTTATTAAATTTCATAATTTTTTTTTCTTCTGTCAATTCTTTTTCAAATCATAAAATTTACTGTTTTGAAAGTTTCCTGTCAACTGTATTTGGCTCATTTACTATCAACTTTACTTTCTAGTAAACATAATTAAATAATAGCTCCATCAATAGAACAAACAGAGGCACCACTGATGCACAACATAGCATTTTTAAAAAATCTAAAATTTTTAAGCTATTGACAGAACCTCTTTAAAAACTTTCACCAAAGATACTGTTCTTGAACAGTGAGGATCCTGCTCCTAAACAGAGTTTTAAAGTAGCATCTTTAATAGGAGATAAAATAATGAGTTGGGTAGCTACAGAGGGGGCACAAGCAAAAGCCTGCGAGCAGAGTAAAGAAAATCTAACATTTATCTATTTAAGCAGTAAACAATGCAACATTGGTTCATACCTACGCCAGTCTTTTAAATAAAGGGGTCTGAGGCTGGGTAACAACAATTTCTTTAACTTTTAAATCTTTGTTTAGGAAATCTTCTATGAGATAGTAATGGATACAGTTTACATCTATAAAAAGACGAGTACCTTTAATGTAAGCCGTATCGCAGGAGAGTAATTTAAGAAAGAGTAAGCCTCTCCTAAACTTTGCTGAAAAAGGAATTCACAAGGCAGCAGGACTATTTTTTAATCTATACCCAAACTCTAACTTTTTAAATAAACATGTACCATACCTTTTTATAGGCTTTCTTTATTTCATCTGGGGATGCAGTAGGAGGAATATTAAGTACCTATAAAACAGTAAATGAGAAATAAAGTTAAAGCTTTATTTTATTTATCATAGTTTGATAAACTACTTTTTATATATAACAGTACCTCATAAGGATTCAAATTCAAATACTTTGACCCTGGTTTAACAAGTCTTTCAATCTGAACATCACTTGTCAATGTTTCATCTCTTTTTTGAATTGCTTTTACCTAAAATAAAAAAAAATTGGAGGAAAACTTTAAGAAATACATACACACAAACACACACAGATATATATATATATATATATATATATATATATATATATATATATATATATATATATATATATATATATATATATATATATATATATATATATATATATGTATTACTGCAAAACGAGTTCAGTTAACTCAATTAAAATTAAAATTAACTCAATTAAAAAATTATGTAGAAATGCCACTATGGAATGTATATTTCCATTCAATTTTTTGTTAAATATTAAATAATTAAATTAAGTTTTACAGTTAAAAAAAATGTTTGATATAAACTAATTTCTTTCTTTTCTTGAATTTTGTATGAATGAATTTAAAAATTTTATTTTGTTTTTAAGAATTATTTCTTAAATTTCTAATTGTGGCTTTGCAACTAAAAATAATTTTTTATTTTAAAAAAGTCAGTGAGTAATAAATAAAAAGATTCATTTATTTACTTTATTTATTTTTATTTATTATAATTTATTTACTATTTTTATTTATTAGAATTTATTTTATTTATTACAATTTATTTAAAAGATTAATTTATTTACTTTATTTAATTTTATTTATTATAATTTATTCATTATAATTTATTTACTTTATTTATTTTTATTTATTTTAATATTACTTAATTTATTTACTTTACTTATTAAAAGTTAATTACTTTATTGGCGATTTTGTTGTGAAAGCAAAGATTATTTTAAGTTCACCTGCTTTATAAAAAAAAGGAATTTTTTGTGCAAATTTTTGATGCAAAATTTTGATGAAACAAGTTTACGAGAAATTTAATTTTAAGTAAAAAAAAAAAAAAGTTTAGGAAGGAAAACTGAAAAAACAATTGTGATAAACATGAGCTGAGATGATATTATATGAATCGCTAACTTGAAAAAGGGGACATGTTATATGAATTTTTGCAAGACATGTCCCCTTTTTCAAGTTGGCGATTTATATATAATATAGCAATAACTACAAAATATATATACAGGCTTTCACAGGAAGGCGTGCGACTTCACGTCTTTATATGACCACGCAAAAAATAATATGTTTTAATGATTTGACCACAGCTTTTGACATAATTTAAAAATTTAAAAACGCGTTACAAAAACTTACCTAAACTTATCTAAAAAAAAATTGTAAACAGAAAAAAATCTTAACGAAAGAGAAAATAAATAAAAAAATACTTAGTTAAAGCAAAAACACAAAAAAATAAATATATAACACAACTAAAACTAAACTCATCAAACTAAAATGATTAGTCTATTTAATTTACGCATTAAAAAACCATTTCAGTCTTTGTTTCAACATTTGTATATATTTTTTATTTATTTAATATGTTTCATAAGTTAAACATTTCTCATAAAAAATACATAAATATATAAATTATATAAAAAAAAAAAAAATAAAACATTTTATGAATACTCTTTTTTTTTTAATTAATTAGAAGTGTTTTTTTAATTCATTAAATAGCGTTTTGATCATATAAAAGCATTTAAGATCAAACTTATTAAATTGTAACGGCTTTCTAAAACTTTTTTTTTTTAACGAAATTTAGTTTATCTTTTTAAATGCATTAACTTTAATTATTCTTATATTTAAATTCGTTAAAGAGACTTTCGTAGTAGTAGAATGTCATTGTTTATAAAAACAAAGCAGTTTTTTATTTTTTAATAACATTTATTTTAGAAATGAACACAAACAATTTATGTTATAAATTAAAAAAATATATACAACTGTCAATTATATTTATTATATATATATATATATATATATATATATATATATATATATATATATATATATATATATATATATATATATATATATATATATATATATATATATATAATAACACATAAATATTATAATTATATATATAATAAAGCGATAATATAAAATAAAATTCAACTTTTTTTTAAATAGATTTATTTTTTATTATTAAAAATTATTTTATAAATATAAATTTACACACACACACATATCGTATGGAAAACGATTGTTCTGAGCCCCCCCAAAAAAGGGCTAGCTCAAGTTTTATTTAAAAAAAATTAAAAAAAAAAGCCAAAAGGAAGTAGCAAAAAATTTGAAGGTATCATTCTCATCTGTGTACAGAATGAAAAAAGCACTTAATAAAAGCAAGGGCCTTGAGGCAAAGAATATTGGAAAATGGATTAGGAAAATGGATTAAGAAAATTCAACCAGAAAAAAAAACTTTGACTTACTGAGAAAATGAAGCAAGTACACATGAAATGGGCCATGGGACTAAAGACTGGAAAGATGAGGACTGGTCAAAAGTCATTTTTTCAGATGTGTCTACCATCCAAATAATAAATGATAGAGTTCTGACTGCAAGTAGAAGACGAGGAGTGGAATAAAGGGAAGATTGCCTCCATGAGACGGTAAATCCCCAAAAAGATCATGACGTGGGGTGCAATACCCATTCAAGAGACAATTTGTTTGCATATTGTACAAGGGTCAATGAATGCGGTAGTAAACTAAATTGCTCAGTATCCATTTGAAGCCACCTTTATGTGACTGGTTTTAAGACAGCACCCATATTTTTTAGCAGGACTTAGAACCATGTCACACTGAACTTAAAGACTACTATTTCATGACGAAAAATTTGACAAAAAAATTGAGGTACTCCATGGCCACAGAATTCCCTTGGCATAAATGCTGTAGAGTCACTTTGGGATTAACTCAAGGATAAAATATACGAAGCGCTAATAACCAACAAATCAGTCCATATAGAACATCTTAATTATGTGTGGTTTTTATGATAATGAGATCAAAAACATGCATGACAAATTGATTTAAGGTTTTAATTAGAGCCTGATCGTGTGCAGGTGGCCACATAAGCATTAGAAAGATATTCCTTCAACATCCATATGTTGATGTGTATAATATATGATGAAATGTGTGTACAATAACACCTTTAAATATCAAATATGATATATGTTATTGTTACCCGCAGTACCAGGAACTAGCTAAATGTTTATGTTTATAATATAATTTAATATTGCAACTCTGAGTTTCATGTGTTATCACAATCAACAGGCAAGTAATAAATTAAAGTTTTACTACTTGCCTGATGGAAGTAGTAAAAGTTGAATTTATTACTTGCCTGATGATGAATCAGGAAAATAGTTTGGGCAGCGATACTTCTCGCGCCAGCACCTGCCATAAAGGAATTTGTCATAATTGGGCATTTTTTTGTGCAAAAAAACAGTATTTGTCTTAAAAAAATATTTTATGAATTAAGGTGGTGCATTAATACTGTCTACGCTGTCAAAAATGGTCTAAAATATATATATATATATATATATATATATATATATATATATATATATCAGGCCTTGTTAAGAATCGTTACGCAGCTCGCATTTTACCTGCGAAAAGGCGATTTGCCTATGCGTTCAGCAGTTTTGCGTTACGCAAAAACTTTAATCTTTTAGAATATTTAAATTATCATTTGATATCGTTTATGTGACGTTTATTCAGAAGAAAATAAAGTCATAAGTAAAAGCATTTAACCCCAATTGTAAACTAATAGACTTTTTGTTAAAGAAAATTTTTTTAAATTATTTTTATTGTTGTTGTTGATAAAAATTAGTTTTAAAAAAATAAGTGTTTTAAGTTTAAACTTTTTTTCATATTTAATATTAAGTTTTATATTTCATAAGTTTAAAAACATTTAAATTTAAAAAAAGAAATATTTTCAATTTATTTTATTAAATTTAAATACTTTTTTATTAATTATAGTTTTTAGTAAATATTTTTATTAAATTTAGTTAAAATTCTTTCATTTAATTTTAAAACAGAGCATTTTAAAATTTTTTTAATTTTAAAATGCTCCTTTTTTTTTATGATAAAATTTCCAAAGTAAAAAAAGATTTAATAAATTTAATTCAAGTTACTTTAAAATGTTCGTATTACATATAACTTTATTTTAATTTCAGTTAAGTTTCAGGTAAGCTCCAAATACTGGTCTGAATAATGCGCTTCACAAAAGCGCATTTTTTTCCAGTTTTTATTTTTCCATTATTTTACAGTTTCATTCATTATTTACAGAAGCGCATTATTCATTTTATAACTACAACTTAATAAATGACGTCAATACAAAAAAGTTCTTTTTAACTCGAGTTATAAATGTTATGCGATCAGTAAATAAACTCTTTAAAAGCCCAACTTATATTCATTTTATTTTAAAAACAAAACTTGTACTAGACCTATAGATATAAGATACATAAATTTCAGTCGATGTATGTACTGAAGCCCCCAGCAGCAGGCTATTTCAGAATGATGTCATCACGCTCACCTAACTCAGCAGTATAAGATATATATATATATATATATATATATATATATATATATATATATATATATATATATATATATATATACTCTCGCCCACACTCCCCTAAAACGGTTTATGGGAGCAATTTACGGCTCTCGCAAAAGTATAATTTTTCTTACGAAAGTATAATTATTGTTGTAACTAAAATAAAAACACAATGTCATTAAAAAAAAATTAATTGCATAATAAACTGCAACGCTTTTTAAAATAAACAGTTGTTGCAAAAAAAAAATTTTAATTTAAATTTGAACCTCAATTTAAATAAGGAGCAGCTTGCACAGCTCCCCAAGTTTGTTTTTGGAGAGCTTTTCACCGCTCTCGTGCTCATTTATTCCCGCCAAAGCCTGTATATATATATATATATATATATATATATATATATATATATACACACAAATAGTATTACGTACAAAGGTAAACAATCTGACATCATAATAAAATAGCCTGCTGGGGGCTTCAGTACATACATAGCTGCTGGGGGCTTCAGTACACACATCGACTGACAAGTAGCCTGACTTGCAGTGGAGTGCTGCTACATCGACTGAGGGTTTGGGATGGGGCAGCAATCGTTTCATTTATCATTCTTTGTTTTTTTTCTCCTCTTTTTCTAAAAAAG